GTTGTGTATCACTTGGGCCTAAGTGGATCAAGAGTGAGACTGTCTCCTGAAATCTTAATACAGTTGTGTATCACTTGGGCCTAAGTGCATCAACAGTGAGACTGTCTCCTGAAATCCTAATACCGTTGTGTATCACTTGGGCCTAAGTGCATCAACAGTGAAACTGTCTCCTGAAATCTTAATACAGTTGTGTATCACTTGGGCCTAAGTGCATCAACAGTGAGACTGCCTCCTGAAATCTTAATACAATTGTGCATCACTTGGGCCTATGTGCATCAAGAGTGGAACTGTCTCCTGAAATCTTAATACAGTTGTGTATCACTTGGGCCTAAGTGCATCAAAGATGAGACTATTTATTTTAACAGTTTTAGTTTACGAAATATCATCTAAATGATTGAAACAAGTACCTGAGTTACAACCAAGGACCTGGAAAGATATAAAAATGGACATAACAATAATTAAATCTATATATTTTTAATAACCAAAATTAAAGAACAGTATACATATCATACGTGAACACTGCGATAATCCTGTAAAATATTCATAACCACGTGCCCCTATAATAAAATGTATTGTATTAATGTAATCAGTATAAGAGTTATTCTTATTCCCAAATCTGTAAGTTATAATATAATTGTATAAGGCTTCAGAAGTAAGGTTTGTGCGATGTCACTATTCTGTACATTTCCCAAAGTTTTTATTATGGAATGTTTGTTCAATTCATGTAGTTTAATTTTGATACCTACCGCCCACCCCACTTCGATGCGTTGTGCGTATGGCACGATATCTGCTTCTATGTATTTGTTTTACCGTAGAATCTGAGGTAAATATTACCTTTTTTTTTTCGTCTAAATTCCCACACAGATATATTTCTCTTTGCCATGAGAACAATGTATTTCAGGAAAGTCTCTAAGTTTTCTAATGTTTATATTTTATAAGTAATGTAGATCATTGGCAGTGTGTTCCGCACAGTAAATAAACACAGAGAAAAGGTAAATTAAAGGAATTTCTTCTTTCGAAATTAAAAAAGATATATTTTCAAAATATGACGTTTGAAAACTTTAATACTTTCATTGTGGTGTTTTTATGACAATTAAAATATTTCTAATCAACTAATGTGATAAAAATTTATGGCAAGGGCCGACTGTTCCTTTAATAACAATAATAATCACAGTTCAGTTATCAACCGTAACGTATGTTGTTAAGCCTAATTCTGAATATCAAGGAAAACAAATAATCGTTTCGGTTTGGTCTACTATTTTTGTTGTAGTTGTTCTGTAAAATCTCTGTAAGATTTATGCTACATGGTAAATGGTCATTACGCACCGTGATTATGACGTGGTCACTATTGAGAACTGCAAACAATTCACGCTTATCAATGCACGTAGTGGAAAGGAAATAAAACCGCGGAAAAATAAGCACTCGTTCTACTGAAATTTCCTGGATGGTCTAATGAAGTCTAATCATGTTATGACAGATCAACAGCACGATGCTGTCCCTGCCACTTATCACGGCTAGGACGTCATTTATATTCATAGTATTCTCCAAGTTTATGTAAAACTACAGACCCGTCCATTCCCAAGCAAACAATAAATACGGGATTCATAGTTCTGCATATTGTTTTTCCGTTGTGTTCTTCGTCTCAGTTTCGAAACTCATGACACCAATGTTGTGGATACAGCCCATCCATGAAATCCAGAAGATAAAGCTCCTTACGCACAGTGAATTTAGAAGCAAAATCAGTGGGAGAGAACGCATTACTAACCAGGGATGAGATGTTTCAATTTATATAGTATACATAAATTACCTGTTACCACTAGAAACAGAGAGGTACTTTAACGAATCGAACGCTAGACTATCCAACTGGAATTTACCAGTGAGTTATCAAATGTAATCATACAGATAAAAGAGACGTTTTAAAATGTATTCTCTTATTGGCTTAATCAAAGGAATAGACCTATTTGTCATTGACACATTATGGACTGCAGCTTTCCAAAAACGTGTAGTGGAATCATTCTTTATTCAGAAAATGTTAATATAACAATAGCTTACCTAACAATGCGTCACTCGTTAACCGTTGAGGTAGGCGTTTGATAGAGGTAGAACAGAGTACAGCTTCCTCTGTATTGCGGTTAAAAAATATAAATAAAATATCAAACGAAAGGCCACACCTGTAAAATAAAATTACATTTATTAATAATCGATAAAAATAAATTATTGTTACAGTGAACACAATGAAACTGATCAAACAAGTTATCGACACAGTGGACACAAGGAAACTGATCACACAAATTCTCGAAACTAAAAACTGCTGAAGTTTTCCACTGAAAACAGAATATTACAAAAAAGGTCTGATTTATCTAATAGTGGGCAATTATTTTCTGTGGGTTGGAGCAGTTTCGGGGAAATTCAACACTTGAACGTGTTTTAGGATAGAATTGAACAACCCACTTCCAAAGAATATAAAACAAGGACTGAAATTACGAATAAATAAATTATTTTTATGATTCTTTCAAGAAACAATTAAAGGAAAACACCAATAAACTTTGATAAAACAATGCCCTTATGAAAACACAGACGAATTATTTATCCCTTTTAGTGAACCTCTAGACTAAAATATGATGTCTAAATGTCATAAGAAATAAATGAATGAAACTGAAAATGTCATTGTATTGTTTGTGCAAAGCTACACTAGTACTATCTGCGCTACCCGTCTCTAATTTTGAGCTTAAATAAGAGGGATTTTGTTTGTTGTTAAGTACAAAGCTACAAAATGGGCTATTTATGATGTGCCCACCAAACTCACCACGGGTATCGAAGCCCTATTTAAGCCCTCATACTTACCAATGAACCATTGAGGCAGACTACAGGAAAGCAATTACGCAATAGCGCCAGCCGTCAACTCTAGGGCTACTCTAATCGAATAGTGGAATTTAACTGCCAAACTGCAGAGTGAGATCTTTCTGTGGCAAAGGGACGATAGCCGTGGACCCACGCATCCACGGTTCACACACTAAATACTAGGCCCAGCACCTCTTGCATATCTAAAATGCGTAACATTATCGAAGAGGTTTGTTTTATAATATATTTCCTTCATTTCAGGATATGTTCATTAATCAAAACAGCACATCAGTTAATTATGCTGTATTACACATGGTGCATTTACTAAAGACATAATTCACATAAGGACAAACAACAACAAAATAATTAATTATTCAATACCCCAAACAATCACGGATATATGAAGTAAAACCAGAGTTCGTATTTGAAAATAGGGTAATTTTTGAATAATTAAAATTGAGGTGTTTGAGAGGTAACTTTTTAACTCATGTGACAGGTTTACGCAATCTGAACAACTGTGGTTTAATATGAAGAGCCGGAAAGTAGTTATCGGTACGTTTTAGATATCTAATAGTTTTAACAAAAATACATATACCAGATAAATTGTCAACATATCTACCGACATTTCCTTTAATAAACTAAAAAATATATCACTGCTTAGCGCCAATTATCATACCAATAAATACAACACAAGCATCACCTAACGATTATAATACATATCAACACACACGACACATGTTATGCTAAATAATTATCATAAACAGCAACACATACGACAAATATAATGCCCAGTAATTATCATACAAACGTAAGATATATAATGTCCAATGACTATTACATATAGCAAAACGTATGCAACATATACACCCAGTGACTGTCATACAAACAAGACACACATATATATTGTTCAAGGACGATCATACTTATCAAAGCGCGCGGCAAAATATACACCCAGTGACTGTCATACAAACAAGACACATATATATTTTTCAAGGACAATCATACTTAGCAAAGCGCACGGCAAAATATACACCAGTGATTATCCCACTGACGACTAAAACACCAATAATGCATAACCATGACAGACAAAACAACAAAAGGAAATACATACATTGCCTAATGATTATAGTAGGAGCCAACACACGCAACATATAAACAGTCTTATGGCACACATATGTAACAAAACTACCATAAGCCTATCAGGTAAAATAAAAATATTTTTTTTTTTTAGTTGTTCAGGATAATGGCAAACTCGACTTTGATATTTTGGAAAGGTAAATGTACCTTCAACTGAAAACATATAAAGGCATATTACTTTATTACTGTACAAATATCAATGCTTACTGTTTATATCACCCATAGTAACAGCACCTGAGACTGTGCCTCCAAGAAGAGAAAGAAGCCCAAGAAAAACACACATAAGGGGCGGAGTTAAGCCCCCTCCCAATTTTCCGCCGGGCAGTGTTTTTCCAATATTTAAAAACGAATTGTTCTAGCTATATTGATTAGGTGACACAAAAATCGCTGAAATTCGTCTGTTATTTTATCTACAGAATATAATTGTGGTAAAAAGCTTACCATATTAAAATAATTTCATTGGTTAACACGAAAACGTTTCGATTTGGTTTGAATTTCGCGCAAAGCTACACGAGGGTTATCTGCGCTAGCCGTCCCTAATTTAGAAGTGAAAGACTAGAGGGAAGGCAGCTAGTCATCACCACCCACCGCCTACTCTTGGGCTACTCTTTTGACCACAAATAGTGGGATTGACCGTCACATTATAACGTCCCCACGGCTGAAAGGT